GGGGGNGGGGGTAGAAAATGTGTGAAACAGTTGGCTTCAATAACGTAATTTCCTTTCTATAGGCAAATGTGCAAACAATCCTTCGCAACTGCAAATATCCCTATGAAATCGATTTTACGAACAAAGCAGTGAAATATTGGAAAAAATAAGTTTGACATCTTCAAGTTACAGTATTCATGAAGAGATTACTGAACTGCATTCAAGTACACACTGGAACACTAACACACAAAAGATGATCACAGTCGTTTCATATTTGTACAGTAAACTTTCCTTTTGTACTCTTGTTTCGGTCAAACAACCTGGTGATAGCTTACACATTCAAGCGTATTTCGCATTGTACCATCAGAATTATTCACATGTGGAAAGACTGCGATGGGGGCTATGGAAAAAAGTATTCAAGATAGGAAAAGTAAGATAGCATTGCACCGAGTTATTCGGTGCCTCACCGAGTATTTCCTGACCGAGAGTCACTGGTATTAGAAACTCTCAGGCGTATTAAGGAGGATAGTTACAACAGTATGGGTCCGGCTGAGCTTTGATTCACAGTTTTGTTGAGTCCGTATGCTACAAACGAGTATTTGTAATATAATTCCTAAGAGTCACGAAGAGCTTGTTGCTGCTACGATGGTCAGTCGCGAAACCTTCCTTCCGGTATCCAACTTTGAATAAGGTTGATAATGAGTGTTCCTAACTGCGACTGGCTGGAAACACGGACTCTAGCCAAAGCTGTATCCGTTGAATTTCGTTAACTCACTTAGTCACTAGCCGACGCAACCTTGATGAAAGCCCACTATTCGTTCAACAGGCTGTTTGCAGTTCTGAGCAAAATGTTTTCGGATAACTCACCTCGTTTACACATGCCACGAACTACAATAGAATGTTTTTGCCTTTGACAATCCTCCAAACGGTATCTCCTCTGCGGGTCTATAAAACATAGGAGCCACTTGATGTCAACTGATTCCGAATTGAAAGTGTGTTAAGTCTTTGTTTTGTTGTCGCCATGTCTCAATAATGAGCTGCATTATATTTGCACCGTAGGAATCCAGGTTTTCGATTACTACTATTAGTAGTAGCTCCTTTAAAACAGCATAATAATCTCATTCTCCATATCTCTAGCTGTTAACTTGTAGTAGTTTATGATCAAGCAGGCGGAAACTTGAGCATAGACGAATCGTGAGTCTGTCTTGCGAGCGGGCTTCATCTTTGGTTACAACGACACAAGGCTTCAGACCTGTTTAGCACAGAGCGCCACTCCAGCATACGGCCAGCTAAGGCATCATAAGTGCACGGTTGACTTCCAGTTCTATTGAAAACTATCATTCCGAATACCATGGTTGCTTGACACACTCACGTCGTAATATCAAAGTGGATTCCTTGCGAAGCACGCAAAGGACCCTAGAAAATTTTAGGAAGCTTTGTCTGCATTTATGGGCGCTCACCAATCGAAGGCTACAAAGGGAATTCATGCCGCGCTCGTATGCTCGACAAGCCTTAGCGGTCTCGCTCTCGTTGTTAGGTGTCTTGCACTGTCGCCCGCTCCCAAGATGGCTTTGTCCACGCACGAGACTTACCACTACATAGCCTACGCATAGTGCGCACAATCGCATGTTGTGACTTCGCGGTCCTCAATCCACAGTGTTCACTGCGAGTTGATGACCCATAGTCGGGAAAAAAGGTAGAACAGAAATAAGAAGGTGCGATGTGGAGGGCCACAGCAGCGATGAGGAGAACCGTGAACGAAGTCGATGTAATTTTGCGATGCATGATCCAACAAAACAGAGAAAAGCAACTGACAAATGTCGGCTGTAAACTTAAACGATGTACCCTCTCACTCTCTATCGAAGTCAATGTACGGTAATTTCCCGTCGGGACCACTGCATCTTACGAAGTAGGCGAAGAGGCACGGCAGGCAGTAGTCGTCAACGAAAAACAACTTTGGGCGATTTACTAGAAGTACTGTTGCTAATGCTGAGGGCTATACCTTCGCCCATAGATTGATGCGTGCCTCTAGAGAAGCGCCGAAACACTTTGGATTCCAGCTTTGATTTGAGAAAAACTAAGCTTTATATTGCATAATCCTTTATTGCTGAACTACGAGCTGTTGTGGGGAAACGCATGCTCTGATTTTTCATATTAGAAATTTGAAGAAGTAGTGATTTATTGTCAGTGCGCTAGTTGAACTCGGCACTTAACAACAGTAAGAAAAGAAAAGGGTATTGAAAACTCAGGATTCAAAGCAGTCGAATCAGTATGTGCAAAGAATATTATATTGAATAACTCCATGAAAGAGAAACAGTGACGACACAATAAATGACTGATTGAGAATTGAAAAAAAGGTTAGAATCTCCAATGCCTCACTTTTCTTGTGAGCTTGGGCATGGGAAACCCAGTGATTAGGATGATGGGTCGAATCAAGTTATGATTGTTAGAAATCTCATATCACGAACACTCCATGCCAACAGAAATTAGAAAATGGTGAAACCAAAGCCACGGTAAAAATGACTACTCGTAAGCAGCAGAACCAGAACAATCAGGAACATTTCTCGGAGTTGGGAGTGCAGCTTGAATGTTAGCAGTGAGATTTGCTTTGGTGTCTTAAAAACGTAGTTTCTTGCTTGAAACTGTGGCTAGCCGTGCCTGAAACAAAATGTTGACGGCGTGAAACTCCGAATCACTTTCTCTAGTCAACTGCCCACCTATGGAAATCCAAGGATAATCTCCGCGACAGGTAGTACAGGGTGTTTCGACGACCTCCAGCAGACGTACGACCTGAATGCTCTATGGGAAGCATCAGTTGGATATCCTTCTATATATAACGAGCTATGGGTCTGTTGGTTTGTCTGTGTGTTTGTGCGTGTGTCCGATCACGAATTTAAAATTCCTTTTCCCATTTACCTGGAGCGTTTAAGTCTGGTAGGAGCACAGGAGGTAGATTGGGAACATTTGTTGTGGATGGCAAGGCCGTACTCCGATCACATGGGGCAGGGATTGTCGAAAAATTTAAATTTGGACCCGGAGCGTAAAAATTTTTTAGGAGTACACGCGGCAGGATGGGAACATTTAAAGTGAGTGACAGGACTAAACTCCACCCACAGGAACCAAGGATCTACAGCGATCTTTCTCTGCGGTGATTTGCACCGATAATGAATCAGTCCTGTCATAGCCCTCCTATCGCTAAGATGGCAGTGAAGTTTGAAGCAATCAGAGAGAGCGGGGAGCCGTCGCGGCTTTCAGCAAAGGGGCTGGTTCATACAAGAGAGTGGATCGAAACTCAGAGTATGGTAGTTTAAACAGTTTTTTCTACAAGTGCCAGAAAAGATGCCATAAAATGTATTTAGGCGAATACACTTGTTGTTTAACTACTGCCAAAGAAACAAAGTAGGAGCTGGATGACTCACGATGTCGTAGCAAGTGATCTTCCAAGCCAATTTTATTGTCACCATTTTGTGTTTCCAGACTGAAAATAATATCGTCTTATCCAGAAAAACAGTGCAGATATTAGCCTTTTTGAGTTCAGGTCTGGGGGAAATGGGTTTGATGATGGTTATCTGGATGTTAAAAGCTGTTGTGATAAACATCCAGCGATTTCGATCGTAGGAGCTCTCTCGGCTCTGCGATCCTTCGTGCACTCACTTACATTTGAGAAGCATAAATTGTACTCAGGCAGGATGAGTATAAACTCGGCGCCGTTCCACTTTATCAATGCTCAGTAGATCTCGGAACCCTAGTAATCATTTTTTACTACGGTCTTGAGCAACTACCGCAGGCATTTTCCCTCCTATTAACCTCTTCATCTTTACGGACTTCAAACCGTCTCGAAGCGTCAGAGTTTTCCCTGGTACCTCTGCTTATGGGCTTTCAATATTCTGTACAAATGGATCATAAGCTTTTTCACGTATGTCGATTATTTTTTTGAACGCTGGACCGAGGATATCTAACTACCTTGGATTTTTAGTTTCACCTGCAGCACTGCACATTCCGCAGCCATTGTAAGCATTTGAATTCCCTGAGCTACATACTCTGTGCCCTTTTTTGCAGAAGCTTGCGGCTTTTTTTGTCAAGGCTGCATTTTCAAATTCAGCACCGACCACCTCCATGCACACCGCGCTTGTTATGAACGACGTGACGCTGCTTTTTGCAGGTTTCTACATACAAATTTCTAGTCCAAGTTTGTGAGAAAGGCCGAAAGCCAAGTAGTAAGCCCCGAGTAGTCAAAAATATGCTGTACCTATTGTAGGGTGGAATTTCACTCACTTAAAGGCACAGTTCGTGATGAAAATGGTTTCGAGATTTATCTTTAGGATGTACTTGTAAACCTCAAGCATATCACAAGGGACGCGGTCAGTCCAAAAAACGGCCCCAGATAGGGCATATTATGGTCTCAAATCTCGTCGACGTACGCATCTAAGATGGACAAATCATCATTGTAGATGCTGAAGATGTTAACCCAACGTAGGCAGCTTTCGTCAGCCACCTGATGGCACAAACATTTGTGGCAGCTCCTCCAAGCCTTATATTTACTACTTTTTGAAGCCTTCTATCTTTCAGAATACGCCGATTTTTATGTTCTCTTCACTACTTTTGCAGTATTTTGAACTATCACTCGTTACCTCAAAGTAATGATGAACTGTGCCTTCAAAAGTATGCATAGCATGCTCACCGCTACCAATTTTTTTAGCCTCTAACCTTCCCAGCAGCGAAGCACTAGATTTTTGTGATAAGCTTCTTTGAGGTGAAGAAGCTTCTCTTCAGCGCATATAATTTTCCTTTACTCATATTTCCTCTCGCTGATCACTTTTTTTGAAATTTTTTCGCAATCCTTAATACTTCCTCTCGCTGATCACTTTTTTTGAAATTTTTTCGCAATCCTTAAACCGTTTCGAACTCTAATGCAGTCCCCTTTCTTCATATACATATCTTAAAAGTTCTTCATGAGTTTGTCTCAACTCTGTAATCAAACTATTCATATGTTTCTGATCTGGCTTTCGAAGTAACGAAAATTAAAACCTGTGCTGTTCAGCCGATCCCATGAGTACTCCACCACCGTCATGAAACTCACTGTCATCGAAGAATATGGGGTTATATTCAGGATCAGTGAAGCGATCAGGGGTTAGATCTGGACATGCTCCATACTCATTGTCGACTATGTAAAAACCAGTCTGCAACCAAGAAATAGTGCAAAAAAAGTTCGACTTCAACCGTAATATGCTACTCCTTATTAACCGTGTATGAATTAGATATAGATGGCTAGTCAACGATCTTAAAATTTTTTTCGAAGTTTTTTGATCCGAAAATCCTTCAGGAGTCCCTTTGGTCCGAAAAAACTTCAGAAAAAGTAAAAAAACAGCGAACGTACGGTTATATTTTTATCAATGACAAAGCTGCACTCGAAGTCGTCATCGTCTTCCCCGAGTGGATTCAACAGCCCTTCAGCAACCTAAAACGTTGTCAAGACGTCATATACACTGAAAGCCATCTTGCTGCGTGAAAAGCAACAAAAACAGATCACCTTCATCCATCCGACGAGGAAGGTGTACTCGAGTAGGGTCATAAATGGCACATAAAATTCGATCTGAAAGTGATCAGTTAAGTACAAAACCCTATCAGACCCTACCATCGAGATGGTCCTGATGGTCAGAAAAATATACGAATCGACTGCACTCTTTGCTTTATTATTTCTCAGCTTTTCTTTTAAATCATGAGTTTGCAGCATCTCTGCTACTTCATATTCATTAGCCGTGCACAATAGTAGTTTTTAATGAAAATTTCAAGGTGAATGCGGGCCATACAGTTCTTTTTGGAAGATGAACTGTTCCAAGCCACTCACATCGTCACGATTATCCACTTCATCCCCGACCAAAAACTGTCGACATACAAGGCACAGCACAAAATATGAGCGAACCGCGAGAAAAACGACCTTAAAAAATTTCCCATTGAATGTTTTGGTGAATTAGCTGACGTGAAAACTTTTATGATGGTTTTCTTGAAAGACTTCATCTTCAGCTCAATTAGAGAAACTTTTCCTTCTTACTTGAGGATAACTGATAGGAACGGGGACCCAGTCAAAATTGCACAGAAGAGCCAAGTTGGTACGGAAATTCTCGATCTCCTGAATTCACCATATCTGTTAGTGGCGCTTGGATTCTTCGAAGCCAATCAAAACAAAGAGTGATAAAAAACGATTTTGAGAAAAGTTTTTGGATCCTGTGGACGACAGTTTCAACATTTAAACAAATAGCTCTTTTTGCGGTAGAGATACCTGTGCTTTCATAGGCAGCCTGAGCGTTCCAGACATTGAAGCGTTCTAATGAACATCTGAGTTCCCCACTTTCTTAGAATAATTTTTTTTTCGCTCGAAACCTCATGGGAAGGATGTTATGTCAACTCTCGACTGCACTGTTTTCTTATTCCATATGCCAGACGCTCATTTTTATTCCGTAGCCCTTTTGATCGCAAAAGAAGTGTGTGGCGCGAAAGCCATTTACGATGGCGCTGAATTAGATGGAGCGAGTGGTTCGGGAACGCTGACATGCCCAGAATCTTCGCCTACGCAGCGCTTTGTTTTGGTGGTCCCAAAAGTCTCTTCAATGAAACCAGTTCAGTGCAAAACAATATTTTTTTGAGATTACTGCATCAGCAGAGGATCCATTGGAAGCGACGAGCAAGCTCTTTAGAGGCAACTAGCAATGAAAACAGTTTTCCGTGATAGAAGGCCATAAGTGTTGTAAGATAACTTTATTTCATTCATGATATAAATAATTATATTCGCAAAAGAACCGGAACCTACATTTTGTACACAAATCCTTGCCCATGGCGTTTCGAAATATTTTTTCTCTAACGCCTGAAAGGAGACACCGATGGCCCAGTGAAGAGGTTTCCAGTACCTGTTGTACGCCAAGTCGATCTTGCTCAGCTCTTCCAACTCTTGCTTACTAATGAACCCTAAATTTGATAGACTAGTACGTCAGTCTTGCTTTTGATAATTCATCCCCTGTGTCTGAAGCGCGATGGTAACATTCATCTGAACTAGTTTTCGGATGCATGTTACCTCACCATCAAGTCGATCATCGCATTTGTTCAAGAAACATCTGGGACCGCGTAAGCCCTTTTCATAAGTCCAGCCCTGTCTGGCATAGTTTGGACTTTCACGTTGGTTCACCGAGATCAGAAGTAAAGTGAGCCTAGTGACCTTTTGTAAGGCTTTTTGTCATCGAAGAAGAGGCATCTGCTATCTTTTTACCCTTATTTGCACAACTTAGTAGGGTATTCGCTGAAAACAATACAGCAATCATTCAAAGTCGGAACTGTGAGACAGATAAGCCATTCAGAGCTCAGTAGAGATTCCATCACGAAAATACAAAGGATGGACTGACTCTCAATGACAAATAATACTGGAGCTTCAACGAAGAGACCATATTCATATCTCACCGGCGTCTACGAGAGAATCCATTGTTGGAAATCTTCTTCGGACTCTCATCGAAATGTCACGGAAAACGAGGACCTGACGTTCATGGTCAACACACTCCAATGGTGGGACTAGACAGAATTCCACTTACCTGTGAAAGTACCGTATACCGAATGATAGTGCGGCGCATGTTCGTGTTCTCTTTTCTCAATTTCGACTAAGAGGCTCTATTCCGACTGCTCTTTGGATGGTATTTACACTGCACTCTGTATTCGTCCCTTGCCGTTTTTCCCACAATTAGCCATCGAAAGATAATGGCAATGAGCAGAGCGAATCATTCCACGTTCCGGAAAAGTCTTTGAGCAGCAACTCACTTCTCTATCCAACCCATATTCTCGAAAGTGTCTCGCCATCGACGAATGATAATAGAAACGAAGAATCCTAACATGAATGTCAATGGAATACATGCCATATGTTCGTCTATATAACCAGCTATCTGCTCGAATTTTCTGAAATAATCAACTTAGCAAGGGCGAAGGTGGTGTAGTGGCAAGTGGTGCGGTCTCCCACGGTCCAGTGTTGGGATTACAGAAGTGGAGACTGAGGAATACAGGCTAAAGTGTTCAGTGTTGGGGCGTTAGTCAAACCCGTCTAAGGGATGCGTCCACGCATTCGACTTCCAATCAGAATATTGAATATTGGAGATTATTACTGCGAAATCCTATGTTCAAACATTTCGTCGCAATGGCTGCAATCGTGAAGCACTAATATTTGGAATGGATAGTTCATGAACATTGGACACCACATTAAAAGCACCGTTCACATAATTTCGGGTAATCCAGATTATGATGAAAAACGGAGGACAAGATCGAAACTAGTGCGACTGAGGTGAAGAAACTGCGTGCATCGGTGTTTCCAAAGTGAAAA